TTTTAAAAAAACAGCAGAGTGCCCCAATGGTCACAAAACGTCATAAAAATGCAGAAAAAAAACACAAGCTTCCAGATTCTTGCAAACCCCTCCCCAACACCAAGTCCTTGAATTCCAAACACCCCAACCCAAAATCCAAACCCCCCAAAAAAGTTTTAAAAGCTTAACTTACCAAATGGCTGCAAAAGAAGTTTTGGAAAAGCTTCAAAAATCACCAAAGTCTTTAAAAACCTCAAAAAAGGCTACTATGTACACTGCGTTCTATGAGTTGCTCCTCGAAGTCAAGTCGCAACTGTATTAATGGTGTTAAGAAAAGGGAAACAAACTTGCAAGACATTTTCGTCTTGCGAAGCAAGCCCATAGGGAAATTCGTCTTGCGAGGCAACTCGAAAATGGAAAAACCTTTCGTCTAGCGAGTTTTTTGTCTTGCGAGGCATTCGTCTTGCGAGGTACCACTGTATACAAACTCACACTCCTGGAAGCTTAACGACTTCCAGCTGCTCAGTGATTAGAGCGTCTTGATTAGAGCCTCTTAACCCTTTAATACCAACACTAATTATGCTACAGGCAGCTTTTGGGGTGTACCCACCCTGAACATGGCACTTTTTGTCTGGTTTCATGGGGCTGTGTGGGATAAGGATGCACAATTATGTCTTCTGGCAGAGGACTGAATTTGATCAGAAGTTTTGGATCCATTCTGCCTCTATTTTTATTTGGAATATATTCACAGAATTCTGGTCTCCATTTCATTTGTTCTTGGAAGCTGGACACTCCAGATGACAGTCCTAGGCATGCTCAGTGGTCAAATAACTATCTGTCCCCTTCTGTGTAGTAGTAGTAGTAGTAGTAATAAATTTTATTATTTATATACCCCACTCATCATCTCACTGGGTTTCATCACTATGCAGAGCAGAAGTGTGTTGTATTACCATTGTGTTAACCAAATGGAAGTGGCAATATGTGCTGGTGCTTTTAGGCATCCATTTGTACCAAGACATCTAGGGGGGAAACTGTATGCAGTCTGGTGTGAAGTAGTGATCTGCTATTAGATATTACCGTCAGATTTCTGTTTCCACATCAATTTCCCAAAAGCTACCTACAAAACTTCTGTACTACTATTTTGCTCCTTAGATATTTCTAAAGAAGTTTCTTTAACTTCAAAGTTTTTAATACACAATTTAATACACAATAATACACTTCAAAAATTTTAATACACAATTTATTCCCTATATCCTAGAGAACTATTCAGTTACAACATACAACAAGGTAGTCTTCTTACAGCAGCTTGCGCAGGCCCCATGCGCAGGCCCACCCATGGGGCAAGATGAGTGAAGAGATTTGAGCAGCAGGATCCATGGGGGCTGCAGAACCCAATGCAGAACTTTATGCCCACCCCGATTGTCCCTGATGTAGATCTTCACTCGCCCCTTCTTCCCTGGCAAGGTGTGGGTGTCATTTTGTGCTTCGCTTCAGGTGCCCCAAATGCTTCCAGGTGGAGCATAACACTTATTTAAAAACAAATGAATGAAGATGCGAGCACAGTCCTGTGCATGCATACTGAGTCCTCCTGGTATGTAAATTCAATTAATAATAATAATAATAATAATAATAATAATAAATACTTTGGTGGAAGCTCCATTTGACTCAATCCTATGTTGGTGTGCCTACGACTGCTTCTTCAATTGCACAGGGCTAGATGTGCCTGGCAAATAGAAGGAGACGAAATGGAGGCAGTGAGACATTTTACTTTCTTGGGCTCCATGATCACTGCAGATGGTGACAACAGTCACGAAATTAAAAGACGCCGCCTTCTTGGGAGAAAAGCAATGACAAACTTAGGCAGCATCTTAAAAAGCAGATACATCACCTTGCCAACAAAGGTCCGTATAGTTAAAGCTATGGTTCTCCCAGTAGTGATGTATGGAAGTGAGAGCTGGACCATAAAGAAGGCTGATTGCTGAATAATTGATGCTTTTGAATTATGGTGCTGGAGGAGACTCTTGAGAGTCCCATGGACTGCAAGAAGATCAAACCTGTCCATTCTGAAGGAAATCAGCCCTGGGTGCTCACTGGAAGGACAGATCGTGAAGCTGAGGCTCCAATACTTTGGCCACCTCATGAGAAGAGAAGACTCCCTGGAAAAGACCCTGATGTTGGGAAAGATGGAGGGCACAAGGAGAAGGGGACGACAGAGGATGAGATGGTTGGACAGTGTTCTCGAGGCTCCAATACTTTGCCTGGCGTGCTCTGGTCCAGGGGGTCACGAAGAGTCGAACATGACTAAACGACTAAACAACAACAACAACAAAGATGTACCGCGGATAACACTATCCATAGTTGACAGCCACCACCATATCAGCACCAAAGCTCAATACAGTAAAGGACTTCAGGATAGAGAAAGAAACTATCTGGATAGAGAAAGAAACTCTCTTTGCTTCCCATATCCCCAGACGCCACTCTCCCCCATTGAAATTGGCCCCGTGAGAGCCACTGCCGCTTCTTCCCGCAAAGAGCCTCTCTCTCTGTGGATTTAAATTCTTCCTCTCCAGAGTTCCACGTTCCTCATCTCCGCAGCGTCACGTGAGCCCGCTAAGGATTCGGGGAGCTGTAGTTTTCGCCGCCGGCCTCGAGAACTACAACGGCCTCCCCCCGCCCCCACACGCGAGCAGCCGCCACTCGCGCATGCGCGGAGTAGCGAGAGGCCGCCATTTTGGAAAGCGGGGGTTGGAGCCTTTTCCGGGGGTAGGTTTTATCTCAGCCCCGCGAGCATGGCGGTGCCCGTCTGACCTCAGGGAGCCCGCTGGAAAAGCGAGCCGCGTCGTCCATTTGAGGTTGGTGTTGCTACCTAAAAACGTGGCTTTGGAGAGGATAAGAGTCAAAAGCGCGGGTTGGGTGTCGGGTCCGCGTGGGCGGGGATGCGCCTGGGGTCCCTCGAAAGGATCCCTTGGGTCTCTTGTCCTGCGCTTCCCGCTCGCTCTCTGGCGCCGGGGTGGCGGGGTCGGGGCACGTTGGTTCCAGCCGGGCGGGTGGGGGGGATGCGTGACACGGGAAGATGACGGAAGGCCAGACCCCGGGCTCGGTGAGGGTTGGCTAGTAAACACGCGGACATGCTGCGTGAAACGAGTGACATCCCATAACCTGCGCCTGGTGGGCGTCCCTCAGAAAAGGGCACGGTTAAAATAGCGCGGTGACACAGTGTGTCATTATTAACCCACAGGGAGACTAAAAAAACAATAAGATGCCTGTTGGGAATTATGTTCTCAGATAAGCAAGGGGTTTTCAGATTATCATCATATTTTTCTGGCCTATTCATTTGGTGATTAGAAATATGAAATTTAACATACTCCGATTGTATGTTACTAACGCACAAGGACAACATCATTTTATTTAGTAACCTGCAGCTAAACGGTTGCAGGCAGGGCTGGATTTAGGTTTGATGAGGCCCTAAGCTACTGAAGGTAATGGGGCCCTTTATATTCCAGCTGTACTTTGTCAACAACAAATTGTCGCTGTTTTTTGTGTTGAATATATGCCATATGGTAATTTATGGATCTCATAGGTATCTAAAGCCATTTGCCTACACAACACAAAACACTGTTGCTGTATGTAGGTTTTATTTTATTTGATTTTTATCTTATATTTTGGACATGCACATCTTTTTTTCTTTAATTTTTTGGGGATCCCCAAGAGAGTGGGGCCCTAAGCTATAGCTTGTTTAGTTTATACGTAAATCTGGTACTGGTTGCAGGCCCTTCCCCATGATTTCTGACTGATTTTAAAATGCAGCCCTTCACTTATGTCCCACTCTCTTTCTCAGGGAAGAAATGCACAAAAATGGTGCTTTACAGAACAATCCTATATAAATAAGTTCCATTCTTTTCATAGGACGGCCACAGTTCGGTAATAGAACATCTGCTGTGTGTGCCAAAAGCCCCATTCTCTGACATCCTCATGTAGGGCTGTGAATGTCCCATGCTTAAAAACGTGGATTACTGCTGCAAATAAATGTTAACAGGGGATAGGCAACATGATGTTCTCCCTATGTTCTTTGGAGATAACTCCCATTATCCCTGACCTTTGGTTGTGCTGATTGGGGCTCATGGGTGTTGGAGTACAACAACATCTAGAGGACACCATATTGGTTACTACTGGTGTAGCCCCTACTGTGCTAGATGGGTCAACGGTCTGGCTGAGGGCAAGGCAGCTTCCTATGTTCCTAATGGGGATTAGTACCATCTAAGCGTGTGTAGGAATGCAGCCTTAATTAAGAAATGAGTCAGGTGTAGGTGGATACTGGAGAAGAGTAGCTGATATCATGCTGTAAACATATTGTTTTATTATTTTAAGATGCTTCATGATGAGTGTAAGCCAAGATACCTTGAAAGTCAAGATGCATCAGCAACAGAGCCCTGTTCTAAAAGGATGAAATCAACAGAAGAGCCTTATGGTAAAACCTATGATGGCTTGCAAAGACTTCATGAAGAAATACATGTTAAAAAAACCCATAGTGGGTTTATTCCTTTGTCCATTTCTGATGAAGAGGCACAAAATGAAAAAGAAACTGCAGAAGTAAAGGCATTCATCATGGGTAAAATACCAGTGTCACCAGAGCCTTCAAAGTCAGTAAACAATACTGAGATTACAAGAAACAAAAGTTTTTCTCCTTCCAATACCAATATACGTAAAAACAGAGAAGACAATGACTCCATCAAAGAACATAAGAATGAAGAGAAAGAATTATATAGTACAAGCAAAGCCTTTATTGGACCCATTTATAAAAGTAAAGCTGATTGCATACGTGATCAAAGGAAAAAGAGAGAAATGGTGCCTAAACAGGCTCTCCCTGGTGATGTGCCAAAAATAGAAGATGAATTGTCCCAATTCTATAATGAAATTGATCAGCTTGAAAGTGATGAAAATCGTTTTGATAGTCACTTACAGGGGACAGAAACAAATTCACTTGGGGAATATAATAAATGGAATCCAATGGCTTGTGTAAATTCTCAAGAATGGTCATGTAGAACATCACCTGGTGGTGATCAGTGTTTTTATAATAATGCACCAAGTGATCATAGAATAGGCAGTGAACAGTATCCATACAATGACCCATCGGGTCACAGGAGTGACAACAGACGGTGTTGTAACAATGAAAGAGATGAATGGGAAATGAGACAATTATGTAACAAACAGGATAGTTCTAGATTCTGGAATGATTCTGTGTCTCAGTTAAGGCCTAGTTGGCAAAACACACATCCTTTTATAATACCTTATGGCCCACCACCTCCTCAATTCACTCCTCGTTTTAATTTTCAGGAACCTAATTCTTCATCACTTCGTTCAGATACTTTCCATCCCCCAAATGTGGGACCATTCAAAAATAGCCATGTTAACATGAGTAGTGCAACATCTGATGAAAATAATGCCTATCATTTTAGTAATCATAATATACAGCCCACCAGAAATGGATATAACATGCCTGATGGACACATGGATAATGGTTTCTGTGAAACTCGACCATGTTGGAAAGAAATTAAAACTTATCCAGATGAAGGATCAAGCAACGTTTCTCAGCAGTTTCCAGAGGGCAAGTTATATGAGTCACAAAAGCTGCTTCTGATTTTAAGAGGTCTTCCAGGCTCAGGGAAGACAACATTATCTCGGTAAGAGAATGACAACTTAATTTTAAGAAAGAAATCTGTTTCGTTTGATTTATTGTTTGTTGCTGTTTCAAACATCATGGTCATTTCAACCACCAAAAAATAATAATATAATATAATATATATATATATATACACACACACACACACACACAACATTAAAACAGTATCAACCTATCTTTCTATTTGTCTATATAGAAAGAAAGAAAGCTGAATATTTTATGTTGTAAACTCTTGTTCCATTAAAACATTTTTATTTTTTGAGAGCCAATTCAAATCATCCAAGACATTTCACTGGTGAGACAGTAATCGTTAAATGGCATATGTGTTAGTAATAAATTTTGCTTTTTCAGTAATAAATTTGTTGACCGTTGTTTAAAAGTTTAAAGCATAATATTGTTTCTATTTTGTAACTGAACTTTTGAGTTGAATAATTACATGATTGTATATTGTTCCTTTTAGTTTGTATTTTATTGTATTCTTTGTATACTGTACTGCCCTGAGAACTTCAGTTGAAGGGTGATCGTTGTTGTTGTTATTTATTAAATTTGTAAGGTGCCCTTCATCTGTACATCTGAGGGTGGTTCACAGCATAAAAATACAAGATAAAAACACAAAATACATAATAAAAGCAAGAACAAAACAAGCCAATAACCTTTGATATTATTAAAACAGTTATGATAATTATAAATAATGGGCTGTATCTAAAGTTGTGCTATATGAATGTTCTGTCAGTGCAATGATTTCTGCTTGAACAATTCTCCCTTGTTCCTCCCCATGCACATGCCCTAAATTTGTTGTAACGGTCCCCCAAACCCTCTGGAACCAATTTGGGGAAGACATGGGCATAGGAGGGTGGGAAAATTCCATTGCACAAGCATAAATCCTTGCAGAATGAGTGCACTGAATACCGTTCATTATTATTTTTATTTAATCCTGAAAACTCCCAGTGATTGAAGCTGATATTGAATGGTCCTGATTTTTTTAAAAAAAACAAAAAAAATTGGAATGCCTTTCTGTTGAGGATCACAAGAGAGGGATTAGGATCTTAGGAGTCCTGACTTTGAATTTCAGCTCAGCTATGGTTGATTTGGTCTGAAAGTTCTTGTCCAGAGTTTTTCCCATGTATGAGATAACTATAATGGTAGTTTGGTGTAAGGATTAATGTATGTAGGGCTATAAAGAGTACTTTTTTGTTTCCACGCATTTTAAGTTTAAAAACAAAACATTAAAAGTAGAAACTAGGTACAACAAAATAATTTTGTGGCACCTTAATGCCAGGCATTTACTATGGCTTTTGTGGTTGGGATTTACTATGGCTTTTGTGGTTGGGAGATGATCTATTGAGAGTTTCTTGTGGCTGAATTTAAAACTGCTCCTAGTCATGGAGCATTCTAGGTAATGAGGTTCTAACTTGTGCAGATTGGCTGACCCTGCAGTGTTTTATGTTCTACAAAACAAGTCTGGATGACCCCACAGTTGGTCCATCAGGAGTAGAAATTCACATCTTGTATCCTCTGGGATATTTTTTCTACAGTCTCGGGGGACTGAAAGGAAAATGAAGGAAGCCAGGAATATTTTTTGCCAATATTGTGTGGCCAGTTTTAGCAAGTGAGCTGATGTAGAAGTTTTCACCAGAGAAGTTTTGTGCTCTGGGCTTCAGGGAAGGTGTGAAAGGTAGTGAGATAAATATGAGGTTTATAAATAGTTGGCTTTGCAATGGACACCAAAAGTACCTCCAAAATAAATGAATAGAGTGTAATATGTTTTGCTTTCCAAAAACAAGATTTGGCTATCTTGTAATAGTGTTGCCCTTTCCTTTAACAGTATTCTGCTTGGTCAGAGTCGTGATGGCATAATATTCAGCACTGATGAATACTTTCGGCAGAACAATGGATGTTGGTCATATAATGTTGGTCAACTAGGTGCTGCTCATGACTGGAACCAGAAGAGAGGTGTGAATATATTAATCATGTATAATTTTGTTAATGATATACTTAAAAGTATGGATTTATTGATACAAGAGTTTGTGGTAGAAGATCCACCAACATGTGCAGTTGGTAGCCTATTCCAATATACAGAATGGATACATCTCTTTTCCCAAGACTGGACAAATGAGCCTGTGGTTGTCAGGTGCAATAAAGGAAATAACTCTTCACCCTTGGTAGTTCTGGGGCATGTAAAAGTTTAAACAGGTTTTCTCATATTCCTACAGTGGTAGGAATTATCATACTCCTACAGTGGTAGCAGTTATGAAATGCACATGAGCTCTACTCAGCCCCAAACACAACAGTATCACTGTCACATTATTCTTGTGTACAGGAGCTGGCTTGTCTTCTCTTTGTAGATGCAACCATTTTGACTTGCAAAGGCCACTTTGTCAATTTCTTACAGAAGTCTCTTTATTTGGGATTACTTGACTAATAAACTAATCAGTTTTGGTCAATTGTGAACCTTGGTGGGAAAGAACAGATAAGGCAGGCATTGGTATTATATAGGAAAACTTTGCCTCTGACCTGAAGTTGATTCTAATGAGATCCATTGAAGAGGAGTTTGTTGTATCGTTGGCAATTTTATAGAAGACTTTCTTTTTCTAACCTTGTTAATTGAAGCAAGTGATATTTATAATTGCTGTTTGTATAATTTATTATGATTTTATTGCAGCAAGACAAGCAATGGATCAAGGAAGATCCCCAATTATAATAGACAACACTAATACACAAGCCTGGGAAATGAAACCTTATGTAGAAGCGGTAAATAAAGCAGCATATTTCTTATGGAAACTCACTTCCTTCTCAGTGAGAAAACTAAATGAATTAATCAGTCTGATTTTATTTTTGACATAATCTACATTTTGTATTATCTTCAGCTTATTATAATTTATGTATGTTTCTGTAAATCTTAAGCCTTTTTTCCGGCAAAATACTGTTTTTCAGTCTGCTGAACTTGCAGCACAATCCTATGTATCTTAGTCAGAAGTAAATTCTACATATTTAAATGGACTTACACCCAGATATGTGTATAAAATAGCAGCCTTTATCAGAAAAGCTAGTTTCTTATACTTTATTTTGGAAGTTACTACTCTGTCACTATTCTTTTTATAACTATAATTCTTTATCTTTGTTTAGGCTCTAGAAAAGGGCTACCGAATAGAATTCCATGAACCAGACACATGGTGGAAGTTTGACCCAGAAGAATTAGAAAAGTGAGGTCTATGTTTTGGTTCTATTTCAAAATACATGAAAGCTTTAAAGTTTATTATTTTGGTTATGTAACCAGTGAGTCAGCTTTCGAACAATGGCAGTAGGCTTCTTCCTACTTCTTCAGCATTAACCCTGCCACTAACTGTCCTTTTGACAACCATTGTATCCGCTTGTCTCACTGAGGATTGTGTTCTGCACACCATTCAGTTTCACCCTCCCCTTTTCTATTCATAAAGCTTAGTAGAAATGAATGATAATAACAGTCTGATGAAACTTACAAAGCTTTCAATTTTATTTTATTTGTAATAAGGCTGCTGAAAGCATAATGGAAGTGCATTTTATTTGGATCTGACAAACTGTTCTGCTTGCAGAACAAAGCTTTCCTGCTTCCCACTTTTTCACAGCTCCTGAAAAGTCACTCCTGAAGGGTGTGGGATATAACATGGCGGGCTGCAATTGATTTAAATTGGGGACTTGCCCTTTTGTGAACAGAAATGCCTTCTGCATATGCTGTCACTCCACTGGATCCAAGCCAGTATTTATAATTATTTCAAGAAAGCAGTAAATGGAGTTATTGGGTGCACTGCCTAAAAATAAAACCTAGATTAAAATATTGTCAGACTGTTTTAGTGTTTTCTCATTCAAACTTAATTTCAGATCTTCAAGAAACTAGATTGTTGAACATGCATATAATTTCCTTAGGAGCATGATGATGCTCATTTAAGTGACAGGGCTGGTGGTGGTAGATTTTGGTTTTGCTCTTTAGTGAAAAATGACCACTGGGAAACTACAACTTTGCAAAAAGGAATAGCAAAGGAGAGCGGCAGCAGCCTAATCCTTTCTGCCAAAAATTGCTGTTTGCCAACTGTCTTTCTGCCCATGAGCAAAAACATATAGGAACCTGCTTGACCCTGGACAAGCTTCTTGAAGAAAGACAATTTGAAAGCATTCTGAGAGATTCTATAAACTGATCAGATTTGAACTTCATTTCTTGTTTCTGTAGGAGGAATGAACATGGGGTCAACTGTGAGAAGATTGTTCAAATGTTGGAAAGATACGAATATCAAATATCAATACCCATTGTCATGAATTCGGTCCTGCCTTTTCACAAAACTTCACAGTGGCCACCTCCACAAAGAAGACAGAGGTGGGGAGCCTCTTCAGACTCTTGGAATACTTTCAGTGTATCAAATAGCCGATAACTCAGGGTATACTTGCTAAGGTTAATTCTCTTTTCAGAAAGCAAGCTATAATAAAACACAGCGTTAATAAATTGAAATTTTAAAGCCAGCTTAACTCCTAGTGTCGGATTGCTTCCAAACTATTCTGCTACTTTCTTTTGAGGGTTAAATAATCTTAATGCAGATAATTATCCCTTGGGGAATGTTTATAAATAATGTAAATACATGTTTAATATTAAAATTGAATGTTAAATATTTTTAAAATATATATTTGTACTAATCTTGGTTTTGATTAAGCCCTGTGACAATGTGGATACACCAGGTGGTTTATCATTGGATTTTGACACAAGAGTTTTTGCATTGTAAACTGCTGAGCAGTTTCTTTAAGAATTCTGAATAGAATATAATATAATGAATTTTTAATAAATGCAGGTAACCAGAAGAATAACTCAGTAAATATATAGGTGTTGCGTTTGAACCTTTTTTTTACTGCTTTCAATCGCAGTCCAGTTCTAACAATTTTATATCAGTTATTTCAGTTAAGTTTATTAATCACATGTTGACCTCAAGCTGAAGCTCACTTTTCCATTGCCATTTATTCTTTGAGGTTGTTTGTTGTTCAGTCAGTCAGTCAGTTATGACAGTAGTAGTCTAGACCCTGCCCTGCAGTTAAAACCTGTGACTTCAAAACATCAGCATACAGTTTAAATGGAATCCTGATAAGTTCAGTTCTTGAGATTTTAATTTGAAGATTACATTGTCTTTTTCTAAGTTCACACTATTGTGGTATGTGAAAGTTTGCTTTTTTTGTTTGGTTATGCGGCTTTGTCATGAAAGAAGCAATAAATGAAATACATTGAAAAAGCTGGAACTGTATACATATATGTGGACATTGGAACCAGTTACTTAAAACCACATTACATGAACTATGATATAGGCAGTAGCCAATTCATCAGAAGTTTGAGGCTGAGCTGGCATGAGGCGTAATTATTGTTCTATTTTTGGTTTTTTACCATGTAGTGAAAATTTACTGAATGTTTGCCTCTTTTTTGTCACCCAATTGTTGTGCTCTCTTGTACTATTGTTTCAGCAATCCATTGTCAGTATAATACAATTAGTGTCTTGAGTCTAGCTTTATGGTTTAAGTTGAATGAAAATATTAAAATACCAGTGTGGTCCATTAGGGCTCTCCTGTTGTGGGTTGAGAGGTAACACTTGGGAATATCAGGTAGTGACTTTGTCTTAAAGCAACCTTATTTGTCCTGTTCTACATGGAAAATAAATCTAACATAAAATACACACTTTCCATCTCTTGATAAAGAAATATGTTTGCATGACACACAGTTGGAAAATCTTGACTTTACATTCAGAACATTTTTGTGTTTGCTCTGGAGACATGCTCTTGTCAAACTTGTTGGTATCTATAAATCTCTAAACAAAATAAAAACGGCTTATATCTGCTTTATAAATATGTATTCTTAGGAGGCCATTGCCATCTTATTTCAGTATTGCTACTCAAAGTGCCTGCTTTGGCCCTTTGGCAACTATTTCAGCTCTGCGTTGTTACCATCTGAGAAAGCACAGTGTAGTTATCTGTTAGTTGCACATATGCTTTTCATGGCTTTAAAGGGCAGTAGTTGTTGGGGAGGCAGAGATAGTTTGCTACTCACCTGCTTATTTGGAGATAAATATTGCTCACCCCAGGTGAGCAGAGAGACTGCAAATTACTGCTACTATATGCAGATCACTTAATTGTCAAAGACAATTATGAAACCTGGATTTGAGTTTTACTAATAAGGGGCTGTTAATATGAGACCTTTGTGGAGCAAGACAAACTTTAGGCTTCTGTGAAGGAAAATGCTAATTGCTCATATGTATGTAAATGAAAATCTGATGGCTGCACCAGTCACTGTAGAAATCTCAACTTCTTGGCATTAGCTAGGAAAGGATTTAAAAATATGTCAATCACATTTGCTACTTTTACATTAAGCTAGCTTACACAGTTAAACAATATAATGCTTTTTACCGCATTTCTGTAGAAGCCACTGAATCACTAATACAAAAATAGCCTCATTTAAATGAGTGTGTAAATAATTGGTGCCCAGGATGTTCAAGTTAAAAATGTTCCTACAGTTTGCCTCAAGTACATTTCTCTCCCTTCTTTTATTGCTCTTTAACATGGAGATTCAACATTCGTGCTACTGCATTGTGGTCATACGGTCCTTAAAAAGGCAGGATATATTTAAGGATATACTGATAATTGGCACTTTGGTAAATACTGTGATTTAGTAACCATATATATGGAAGACCAACAACTTAGTATATCGTGAACTACTATGGAAGCTCCATTGGAAATGCATGGCTGCTGCAGAAGAGCACAAGAATGACCAACATAACCAATAAAGTACATGCATATTACACGTGCCTCATTTTAAGAACGCAACAAGAGTTGCAAAACAAGTCAACTTTGGGGAAAGAGGCTGAAGACTCCATAGAATAGATTGGTTGTATGTTTTCTATCATTTTGCTCTTGTGTTCAGAGCCCTGCTCATTTGCATGGGGCTTACAAGTTTGCAAAAATATAGCAAGTTTGTGTGCCAGCCCTGGAATGGTGATCAGATATAACCAACATACTTTTGCTACTGCGGGGGGAAACTTACATAGTTCCTATAGCTTTAAAGGTTAGTTAACAAAGATATGATTTCTGTGGCTGAGAACCAGACTTGCTCCACCTGTCTGCCAGTTTTTAAGATCCTGCCTTGAAGCAAACCCTCTAAAAACTGCCACCAGAGATTTTCAGGGAGCCTATGGAGTGTTCCATCCTTAAGGGATTTTCTTGTGCTTAAGTGGACGTTCTGTGTCACATACACAAGGGTTTTAGATACTGGTTTATGCTTTGCAGAAATATCTTAAAACAGTACTTTTTAAAGTCAAAATTATTCAAATGCTAACTTATACTGCTTAACAAAGTACTCAGTTACTAAATCTGGAAAAGTAGGAGCAAGATAGTAGCCATGATCTAGGGATGTTGGCACAGAATGTATTCTTTGTCGCTCCTACCACACTGAAAATTTCTGCAGGCATCAGATGTGGATATTCACAGCCATGGCAAGAGACTGATTGAAAGGCTCATTCTCACATAGCCTGACCAGAGTTGATGTGTGTGGTAAATGAACCTGTTACGTCATCTGGTAGATCGTTTTATTTGTATTTTAATTTTTGGCTTTGTGTAGCAAGCAATTACCTGCAAGTGAAGAGGGTATATCTCTGGATCTACCCTTAATTGCCCCACACACTTAAAACCTGAGTAGGGTTGCAAATGAGGTTACATAGATATGCATATGTAGGAACTCTATGAGGTAGGTAGGATGTTCAGTTAAAGGTAATTTCTTGAACCTTAGTTATAAGAGTCAAGTGTGCTAAGCCTTTTATCTTTTCTAATTATTTCTTAATAGGTAGCCTTTTTATCTGATAAGATTTGCTGTATAGGTATGTAAACAGCAACAAATTATCTTTGTTCGGTTTGATTATTCAAGGTTTTTGCTAGCACAGTTTTCTGTTTCATATTTTTAAAAAGATAAAAGGGCAGGAGAGGATCAAAAGCTTCCTGTATAAGTCAGATTCATCAGGAATAAAGTCTTTAAAATATTTAATGTTGTTTTTGTTCAGTGACTTGCATGTGTTCCGCTTTCTAATGTGTATTTGTGAAATGTGCATGTAAATACTTTTTAATAGAAATTTTATTAAATCTAAAAAATTGAATGATATTTTGCTGCTTAATTTGTTTGCAAATGTTGCATTTTGAATGTTTTCCAGTAGTAGAGGTTGCTATGAATATCCAGTCTGGTGACTTTAATACGTTAAATATATATATATTTAACAATGTTCATTTTGTCCTGCTGTGTCAGTATTTTGAGTACAGCCATACCTCATGTTACGTCCGCTTCATGTTACGTTCTTTCAGGTTACGTCCCGCGGCGACCCGGAAGTACCAGAAAGGGTTACTTCCGGGTTTCACGACTCACGCATGCGCAGAAGCGCAAAATGATGTCACGTGCATGCTCAGAAGCGACGAATTGCAACCTGCGTGTATGCAGACGCGCCACTGCGGGTTGTGGTCTTTACATGTTGCAAACGGGCCTCCGGGACGGATCCCGTTCGCAACCAGAGGAACCACTGTATCTACAACAGGGATTGTAAAAATGTCTCACTTTTAGTAACTGGCAAGGTGTCTTCCCCCATTGGTGAGTGGGATGTGTAGATTTAGCTCCACCCATTCATCAGCGTGATGCATTTACATCATGTAAGTGTGGGTGGATTGTGCTGCCAAAAGTTGGCATGATTTATCAACAATCAGCCTGCATTTCCTCCTTATAGCAGGCAAGGAGCTACATTGTTCCTAGTCATAGAGAAACCTTGTGTTCATAGTTCCTGCATGTTGCTGCCATAAAATGGGGGGGGGGGGGAGCAAGATATAACTTGTGTTAACAAAGAATTAGTGTTTTGGGAGGGGAACTTAACATTTCCAAGATGGGCTTCTTGAAAGTGTAATGGTAATGAGAGAGATCTAGTGAGATCTACCTGATCTAGTGAATGAAAATGAATCTGCTCTGCATAATATCTTCCAATACTCACAATGTGTGAAGAGGGTGGGCTGTGGGTATAAAAGTGGTTGGTGGTGAACTAATTGCTTGGTAAATAGGGTTTTTAAAAATTCTACCATGGGAAAGAATACATATTTTCAATTTGATTTTGATCCATTTAGGATGCAGTCCTATGGTCTGTGTCTCTGGGGCAGCAGGACATTGTTGACTTCCCTCTCCGTTGACAAGGGTGTCTGCTCCCAGAGGCTTCTTTGTTGCAGCTGTGGAAGCTTCCGTGGCTGTTGGTACTCTGGCAACCATAGGAGGCAGAAAGAGAGTCGCTTTAGATGAGGACGCAAAGCTCCCCTGTTCCCATGACAAAGCAGGGGATGGGGTGGGTGGGAGAAGCTTGTATGCTTATTTTCCTTCTAGTGACTACCCCCCCTCCCCTCCCCCCCATCTTACTTCTGGGCCAGTATGTGAATAGGAGGGCTTTGTATTTGTAGCCCTTCCACCAAAGATTCTCCCCCAGCTCCCACAGAACTGCTTTGCCCGGTAACATCAAAAAGGTGGCTAATGCAGCTAACAATAGAAATCAGTCAAAGCAAGACATTAAAATGTCAAAGCAAAACCAAGTAGGCAAAGAGATGAAATACCAAATAATGCTAATCAGATAAATTAAAGTCCTGCCAGCATAAATATAACCTAAGGAGGTCACGTTAAATTAACCAAGTAGATTGCCCCCTTTGTGTTTCTGCCAATCATACTTGGGGAAAGGTGGGGCATGTAAAATGACTACTTGGTTGATCTTAGATAGCAATAAGGTTTACATGACAGTCTTTTTGAAATCCTAGTCCCAAACAATTTAGGGCTTCAAAGGTGATAACCAGTGTCTTGAACTCAGCCTGGAAATGGATCAGTGGTGAGTACAGCTGGAGGCGGTGGTGGCAAAGCAGTTGTATGCTCCAGAAAACTAGCCCCAGATAGAATTTTTGTAGTAGTATTTGTACCAGCTGTACTTTCCAAATGCTTCTCAAGAGCAATCACTATGAAGAGTGTGCTGTCAGCAGTCCAAATAGTTAACTAAGGCATGTGCAACCAAAACCTGAGCTCCTCTAAGAACGGGTGCAGTTTGTGCAGCAGTTTAAGATTTTGAAAGGCTTAAGATTCTGTTTAAGATTAGATCAAGGATTATTCCTAAAACATGAGCCTAATTTATGGGGAGGAATGTAGTTCCATCCAAGATAGGCAACAATCTTGTTCCCTGTTCTTAGCGATCAGGAGAATCTCTGGGATGAGTCTCATTTTATTGGCCCATATTAAGTCCTTCAGTGATACGGCCCTGGTTCAAAACTCTATCGCCTCCTTAGACTCAACTGGAAAGAAGAGAATATTGGTGTCACTAGTGTACTGATGGCACCAGATCCAACAGATTTAATATTTCCTTTACACACTTTCAAGTTTTGTCTTTCAGACATTTTGTCAAATGCACACTAGGAATAGATAGCAAGCCAACAGCTTGCCACTCTTCCCCCAACTGCATCTCTGTTTTTATGCAGCCATACTAAGTAATAATGCTACCCGTGAATGCTGAATTCAGTACATAGTCAGAATAGGTTTACTACAATTTTGATGGTTTAACAACACAATCTTACATTTGCCAAGCACTACTTTCAAATAATTCCCCTTATTTTCACATCTGTAAAACAGTGGCTTAAGCACCAGAATATGTTTTGAAAACCTACAGTCCAGGTCTAAGTCATTCTAACTGAATTAGTGGGGCTTAAGAGTACTTAACTTTGACTGGATCATGCCCTTGTTGATCGGCCTGCTTTTAAAAAAGAGTTTATTACTATTTTGCTTGGAAAGATACACTTGCATCTAGCTGCTCAATAAGAATGGTCACTTGCAATCATACAAAAATGACATGCCTAGGTCAACTCATGCAACATAACTGGTGGAAAAGTACTACCAGAGAAAAAGGGTTCTAGAACTGATGTTCCTAATGGTATTTTTCTACATTCAAAAATTATATTCACCTGTAATCTGGTGGTACAGTCTTTTCTAGCACCTCATTATGCTGCATATGCAGACTCAGCCTTAATTTCCCTCATTTCACTGAACCAAAAGCAAAAATTAGGCTGCAGTATTAACCTCTACTAAGGAAATGCTATATCCTAAATACATTTATTTCTTCTGGACAACCTCGTTTTTTCTTCAACTCAAATGCATCATGTTTGGGGGTTTTCATTTTAACTAGGAACTTTGTAACTTATGCTTTTATTAAGATTATTCTTAATAATTTGTTCATATTTAGTTCTTATTCTGTTTAGGGAGTCGGTTGTAAAGAAGAAGTACAGGTTGCACAAGATGAAACAGAGGAGGAAGCAAAAGAGGAACAGAAGAATGAAGGGTGCTACCATGAAAGCTATGGGGAAAACGTCAGGTGGACATTTCACTCCAAGTGATGAAGAGTCATCACAGAGTGGCCTGGAAGATTCAGAAGACAATGGAAAATCAGCATATGTGATTGGGCACCAGAATGAGCTAAAAGAATGTGTTGAGAGTGACTCTGCCAATGATAACAGTCGAACACATAGTGAGTTGCAAGAAGGAAGTGTCATTGTTTCTGATATGGTGGATCCAGTGCTGGACAATTCATTAAAAAGGAAAGCTTTTGCAGGAGACGGTAGTCTACCTCTAATGCATTTGCCATCTGCTCCTAATGAAAACAGAACTGAACAATCATTCAGTGATCATTTACCTAATGAAATTAAAAATGTAAACTTTGTAGAAGGCAAGAGCAACGACTTGGAGTATGAAAAGCACAGTTCTCTGAAGTTGGACCACGTTACTGAAAATAGTACAAAAATACTGACAAATAGGGAAGACAAAGACGAAGCTGCATCTACTGAAGTCATACTTGAATCTGGCCCAGAAAGGAAACTGCTCAGCGATGAGGAAAAATTAGCCGCTCCTCATCTTCCTGGGCCGTCAAAAAATAATGAGGGAAATACCTGGGCTTTCTTTTCTATCGACTTGGCTGACAAACAGCCCCAAGCCATCTTGGACAAAAGTGATTCCTGTTTGACTTGGCCTGATGGTACATCTAAGATCATGTATGAGCAAAGGCCAAAGAGGGAGAGGAGGCCCAAGCAAGTATTTTCAGGAATGACAGGAGAATTGATTGAATGTCATCCTAATAAAGAATTAGTGAAAGGAGAAGTGTTACATGGAAATAACAGTATAACAGATGGCGCTCAAACACCCCAGCTAACAGAGAACATCCATAGAATGCCATGCCCTGGGACAGGTGAATTCATGACAGAACCTAAAACTAAAACCAGTGATCCAAACAATGTAAGCCTTTTAGCTACACCAAGGAAAAAAGGAAGATGCAAAAGGATCTTCAAGTTGGCCCCTAGCTTTGGTTTACCCAGACAGATTCCGGTTAGAAAAGACGAGCAAGTACTAAAGGATATTGTTGTATTGGTGGAACAAGAGGAGACTTCAAGTGAAGAGGCTAGAGAAAAGAACAAGCAAAGCCTTGGCTGCTATGAACGTCCAGTACATTCTAGTTATGATTTAGTAATAGAATCATCTCATCTTGATGTAGAACCTCTCTTATGTAAATATTCCAGCCAATTTGCACAGAAATCTATGGACTTTTCAACAAAAGTAGTCGCTCCTCCAATTCAGATATGTACTTATGTGTCTTGTAGAGCTTCATTACCTAGCGAACAGCAAGTTGTTGCTTTTGATCAAGCTGTGGAAGCTAACACACAGGAAAAGAGGGAGAACGTATCTTCAGATGTTTCAACTACTCAGCCAGATATTTTGTGTTCGGTTCAAGAAACAGACTCTTCTGCTGAAAACTCTGAAAAGATACAAGAAGTTAATGAAACTGAGCAGCCGGAGTATTCCCCAATCAAATACGAACAATATCCTTTGAAAATGAAAGCCAGTGTTTTGGGGCTTCCTTTATCCCTAGGATTTGCATTTCAACTAGTAGAACATTTTGGTTCTCCAGGAATTCCACTGGGTAACTACTATTTTTTTGAAAAAACAAAACAAAACAAGTAATACAATTTGGCAAGTTAGGTACTTATTGCTTAGCAAAGTTGCTTAGTGAGCCAGCCACTGCTGTGTGTGTGTGTGTGTGTGTGTGTGTGTGTGTGTGTGTGTGTTACAGTGGTACCTCGGGTTAAGTACTTAATTCGTTCCGGAGGTCCGTTCTTAACCTGAAACTGTTCTTAACCTGAAGCACCACTTTAGCTAATGGGGCCTCCTGCTGCCGCCGGAGCACAATTTCTGTTCTCATCCTGAAGCAAAGTTCTTAACCTGAGGTACTATTTCTGGGTTAGCGGAGTCTGTAATCTGAAGCATATGTAAGCCGAGGTACCACTGTATTGCTTTGGACTTAACTTTTCCTAATAGAGACTAAGTGCTTTTGGGTAATGGTTAGTGTTTAACATCCAATAAATTTAAAATTCCTCTGCCTATTTTAGAATGAAAATTAAAAATCACTATACATTCACAAAATATTGATTTTAACACTCCAGTAAGTGTTCTTAATCTTTGGATTTAACCATTGCCAGCTTGGCATTATGTGGTCTCGTATCCATGGGCATTTCAGTCTACACTTGCTTACCTTCAGCAATGACGTAGCCTTCAGCGGTTTCTGGAACATTAACTGAGCCCACAAACTTGGCCTTTTCAAGTGTTACGTTATTCCTTTACAAGTCTTATATACACATTTAGTGACTTCCCCCAATTTCCTTAATGAGGCTTGCGTTACAATAGCAACATTTGTAAATGTAGAGGGAAATACTGCAGTGGGGGAAATTACACTGCTGTTCCATATTGTGTTCTTCTATAGCCTCAATCATGCCTAAAATCAAGATAAGTGCAGATTTATTTTAGCAGGCCTGCTCTGCCTACTTGTTTTCATAGCTGAATGTGGGTACAGATTACCTGGGCCCTTCACTTTCTGCATACTCTTGGTCCCCTTACGGTAATTCTGCTCACAAAATCCAGCTTTCAGTCTCAACACAGTATGGAGGTTCAATTATTCCCAGTCTCTTTGTAGATTCTAAACCATTCCCTACTGCTTGACACAACAAATTTGATGTCCAGCTACTGTTTTCAGCGTTTTCTTCCCAGCTTGCTTCAGAACATGTAACAAACCTACACGCACATACCCACAGAAGAAAATTAAGCGCTACCTGTCGTTGACAAATCTATCCTCCATAAATTTAAGATTTTTTAAAGCCACCTAAACCACCAGCCATGGCCACATCTTGTGGTTGTGCAATATGTTAAGTATGCATTATTATAAAGAAGGAATGAGTTCAGAGGCATTGTCTGCAGGATGTCCTGGTTGTAATGCCCTGGCACCCCCTACCCAGAATCTGTCTCTAGCAGTAGATGCTGGGAAGGACCTCTGCCTCATGGGAAACTGATGCTAACTGAAAAAATTTGGGCAGGATGGACCAGGAGTCTGCATCAGTATGAAGCTGCTCCATATGGGCATATGAAAAAAGTGGATTTTTTTGCCCACATAAATTCTGTTTTATACACTACTTCATTCTTTGTACTGCCACACCGACCCTTTTTTTTATTGGCCAGTACAGTGTGTTGAGGGACGCGGGTGGCGCTGTGGGTTAAACCACAGAGCCTAGGACTTGCCGATCAGAAGGTCGGCGGTTCGAACCCCCGCAACGGGGTGAGCTCCCGTTGCTCAGTCCCTGCTCCTGCCAACCTAGCAGTTTGAAAGCATGCCAGTGCAAGTACATAAATAGGTACCACTGTGGCAGGAAGGTAAACGGCGTTTCCATGTGCTGCTCTGGTTTGCCAGAAGCGGCTTAGTCATACTGGCCACATGACCCGGAAGCTGTACGCCGGCTCCCTCGGCCAATAAAGCGAGATGAGTGCTGCAACCCCAGAGTTGGTCACGACTGGACCTAATGGTCAGGGGTCCCTTTACCCTTTACCTTTACAGTGTATTTACGTCTATACAGACACTCCCAACACTTTTTGTTATCTATGTGGCCTTGTAGGTTCACAAATTATTTACTGCAACATCAAGTGATAACTGCATGGGTGCATGAACAGTAGTTGATCTAGCCCCACATACTGATTTCTTGGATCTCCCAATACAATAATTATTTTTATCGGAATTCGTGCATACTCTTTGTTGCTAGTTCCCAAATATTTTAACGGCACGAGAAGTCAAGATATCAGTGCATGTGTGAGTCAACTATGGGGTATCTGTATTTTGCATGCTCAGGTTGTGACACTAGTAACAACTAAAATTACTAGCATGCTTCTCAGGTTATAGTTACTCTTCGTTATTTGCAGTATGTGGGTCAAATAACCACTTTGTGCAAAATCTTGTTTCGTAGACACTTTATTACCAGATGATTATGTAGTTCCCCTTGATTGGGCAACATCAAAGGAGATCTATTTACTGTGGAAGACATCTGTGGAGGTATGAATGTTAGTTCTCCAGCTACCTTGCCATGCAGATTATGTTAATAACTTACATCATGATAATTGCTCCACAGCCATTGGACAAAACCAACATAAGCAGTGAAGCAGTGCACTGCTTCTTCATTCTGTCAGGAATAGCTCTATCTTGATGGGCTGTCACCCTGTAGAAAAAAGAATTTTTTATGTTTTCTTGTGGCTGAAAGAAATAGAAGACTCACATTTTTTTAATATAAAAAAACCCTTTAATTCTATTTTAGAAGAAGCAGAAACCTATCATATCAAAAGAAGACAGCTCCATACCTGGTGAGTATAATCTTTTGCTTAATAGATGGAGAGGAGGAGGGAGGAAGAGTTCACACAATCCCCAAATTATTACCAGTTGCAAAATATTGCCTGCGTACTTTTGGAATGTTGTGCTCAGATGTTGGTCTACATTTTTGCATCTAAAGATCTGATTGAAGTGCAATGAGTTGTTGTTCCTTTTAGCTACTATTTGATATGGAGTATAAAGTGGAAAGGTCTTTTGTTCTTCTGATCTTGGAAAATGTCATCAATTCTCACCTCCTTGATGACAATTTATTTTCAGACAGCCAATAAATGATCTGTTGAAAGGTGTTAGTAGCAATATCTGCACTGATCCCAGAGATTCCAGTGTCAAAACAGTGCTGTTCTTCTAGCACATAATCAAGCAATAGAATTAATTGCCACAAAATGTGGTGATAGCCACCAACCTGGATGACTCTTAAAAGTACAGATGGATTCATAGGGACAAATCATGCCTCTGAATGCCATTTGCTGGGGAACAGTAGTAGTAAATAGTATTTTCCTGTGCCCTGCTTGTGGGCTTCTCAGAGGTGTCTGGCTGACAGGGCCCTGCTGTAGGTGTCTCCTCATTCTGAACTGCAGAAGATTTGCACAAGGCAGAAGGCCTTCATGGCAGCGCCCCCACCCCATCGCAGTTGCAGAATTCCCCTAAATACCTGCCTGGTGCCCACATTAATGTATTTTTAGTGCCGGGTAAGACCTCTGTATTCTCCCAGGTTTTAAATATTTTTAGTGCCATTATAATATCACTAAAATTTGTTATCAATATTAATTAGCAGACTCTGCTGCTCCTGTTGTAGACCCCTGAAGAAAGCAGGATTGAAGTCTCTGCTTGTATCCCCCCCCACCCTTGTGGGTCAACTTTGACCCACAATCCATCAGATGATTGAAAGGGGGGCAGCACACCCACCTGTCAAAGTTGGGCTATGGGGGAGATTTGGTCCAGTGGAGCAGAAAGTTCCTTACCCCTGTGTTATGATGATTGGTGTGTTTCACTCTGTGAAGTACTTGACTCTCTAGCTAATCCAACCTCAGAGGCTTTGAAGTCATTTATCTTTGGGTAAAAATAAAATAAAGGGACTTAGAATTGGCCTGGAAAGTTGGATGAGGATATCTGTTGTAGAGATAGAAAGGGAAATAATGCAGCAGTATGTAGCCAGACAGGATTGCATACAGCAACAGCTTGATGGTGGGAGCTGGGAACCAGCCACACTTCCTGGTTCCTCTTGGAAGACGACACTGATCAACAGGTATAGATAAATCCATGTAAGATTCAATTTCAGGCTGCTTATGTCGCTTTCTTTGTAGCTGGTGAAACTGCCGAAGAAGGTTCAAATAAAGATGATCAAGACAGAAAAGCATCTCCCGAAGCCAATCCATAAATGCACTTGGAAGAAGACCCTTACTTTGTCAAATAATCCGAGCAACGATGGTGGCGTGTTCTGAACTTTTGTCTAAAAATTAAATATCAGCATAATGTGCAGAAAGGTACAACACGGAATTTATTTATACACATATATATACATGAGAAGATCTATTTCCAACCTGTGTTTCCATTTTCTGGTTAACTATAGGCATCTATCTTTCTGTAAATGATTATCCATAGACTGGGCTCCATTGGATGGTGATATAGCTCCTGCTACATTATTATCTCAGCTGCTGAGAGCAAATGTTTAGATTGGGATACAATATCATATCAGAGTGGCAAATAGTAAAAGGAACTATTTGCTTTACTTAAATAAGGCAGATTTTATAAGCTTTAAATATTGATGCTATTATTTTTTTCCTCAGATGTTGGATTCCATCTGATAGCAGCCCTACACATTACAACAAATTATGAAAGGGAAAAGTGCAAGGCTCGAGATCATATGACCTCGAGAGCAAGAGCTCCCTTTTTCCTTTCGATATTGAGTGTACAAGTGCTGCGTGTGCGTACTGCACATAAACAAATCAATCTTAATCTTTTAATATGGAGGTATTATTGGCAGTAATAGAACATTTTTGCAAAGTCATGCTTAAGATGTTTACCTCCTCTTCAGTTAATATTCCACAGTCTGGGTGAAAAATTTCTGGCATCTGACCACCCAGTTGGGAAGGCATGTAGCCTTAGGTTTATTTTTGATTCATTTTTTTAATCCATAGCATAATTGTGTCACTTCTGCCTGTATCAATTGCAAAAATATAGCCCTTTCTATCTGTTACCTCGGGAAAACTCTGGTCCATGTCCCGGTCATTTCTTACACTTTCCCAATCTCTTCCTCACTGGTTTTCCATTGTCTTAACTTGGTCCCTTTGCATCTATTCAGCTTTCTGAGTGCCAAAATAATTCACCATTCTCATTGTCCTAATCATAAGATGCCTCTCCTTAGATCAGTGGTCAGCAACCTTTTTCAGCCATGGGCTGGTCCACCATCTCTCAGACCATGTGGTGGGCCAGACTATATTCTGAAAAAAAAAAATATGAACGTATTCCTATACCCCACAAATTACCCAGAGATGCATTTTAAATAAAAGGACACATTCTACTCATGTAAAAACACGCTGATTCCCGGACTGTCTGTGGGCCGGATTGGGAAGGCAATTGGTCTACATCCGGCCCCCAGGCCTTGGGTTGCCTACCCCTGCCTGTCAATATTGGTTTCTTGTCTACTAATGAATACAGCACAAGTTCCTTGTTAACTTGAAAGCACTCCAAAGCCAATTACTCTTAGCTCTCCATCCTTATATCTTGACACATCCCTGCTCATGACCTTTACTCCTCCACTTTCACTACTCTCACCTATCAGAAGATCTCCTGCTCCCTCAAAAGACATCACCTCTTCCTTTTCCTTTTGCACTTTTCTATAAAGCCTTTGCACAACCCCACTATATCTCAGCTTGTTACAGAGCCTAACAATTGCATCCATTTTCTCCACTTTCTCCATTTCCTTTGTTGAATTTTTTTGGGCAGCAACCATTTAAAATCTCTAAAGCACTATGTACACAGATGGCACTACATTAATAATAAAATAGTAATAATCAATGTGAAAAATACATATTTTCTGTGTTGAGAAGTGGTGTTTGCCAGTTGGCAAACTGAATATATTTATATATTCCTCTTCCAGCCAATACAATACTTCAAAAAACCCTGCTCCCCACAAAAACACAGAGTACCCAATCTGAGTTAATTACAAACATTATCATTGTGTGCGTGTGCATATTTCATATTCTGATTGAAGGTGGCAATTGTCAAACTTTAAATCAGCACCAGTAGGCTTGGGATTTTGGTTTGATACTTCACTAGATTTTTTAAAAATTTTGTATTACAGAGTTTGCTCAGTTTTGGCTTTGTCACGGATGGACTCAAGTTAAGTCACCTATAATTAATGGCAACAACGGCGGTGAGGAGAAATGCAAATTCTAAAGGTTGTTGAAACCATGGCCTACAGTCACACTGCTGCTTTCTTTCCATGTAGCCTTTGAATTTTGTTTTGAAATAAAACGAAGCTTTGAAGAATGTTTTGTAATTGTCACTATGAGAAAGCAACTTGAAACCTGTGTTGTTTCATCTGTTTACCTCCTGTACATGTGGCATGAAGAAACTAAGAAAAAAGTGGTCAGTTGTGAGTAGGGAGACTGCTAAATTAAGACTATAACAAGGACTGGGACAGTGCAAGAAACTGTACTGCCTGTATCACCCCTGCTGTCTACCCTCCTCTCCACCACTTACTTCCTTTTCTGTGGTGCTGGGTCTCCCCCACTCTAGAAAGCGCCAATTGGGTACTTCCTCAACACAAAGCATTCGGGTGAGGTGGCTGGGACAGCACCTGCACAGCTACTGTGGTTTGCCGTGACACTTAAGACGCACTCTTTAAATTAATATATATAGCACTCTACCCACTTGTGATTCCTAGCACCTGGCATTCAGAGGCATATTGCCTTAAATAGTGGAGGTGATAATTCACTGAAGATTTGGATAATTAAAGTAAATTCAAGCATGAGGGCCATTCCCAACAGTAGTCAAGATAATGCAATCATTCTAGCATTACTTGAGTTGCTAATAGTTGTCAGATGCTTCAGCAGTACTCATTTATTTAGCTGAAACAAAACATGTCTCTCCCATATTCGTCTCTACCACAGCAGGCGCTGCAACCTTCCAACAGTTTGACTTCACCTCCAAAGACACACTTTTCCATTGTCTCCTGAGACAAACAGATGCCAACAACCAACAGCTTCTTTAAACCAGGTGTGTGGAACCTGTGGTCCATTAGATGTTGTTGAACTACCAAGTCTCCTCAGCCCTACTAAGTATGGCCAATCGTCGGGTTGATTGCAATCCAGCAACATCACAAGAGCCACATATTAGCCACTCCTGCTTTAAACAAAAGGGAGGGAAATAGATGTGAATATATTTTATAGGTTAGCCACCAGGAGTCAGGAGTTTCTTTTTGGCTCTTTTCTTGTTTAAGAGTAAAGTTTTTGTCCAGTTTCCTCTCTTAAACCTCCCCTGAGTATAAATGGGAGCACTTTTGTTCTATTTTCTTATGAAGACTTGACTTCATGCCTTTCTCTTCTAGCACTATCTAGTTTTTGTGTGGGCACTGAGCATATGGGATGTGGCTTCTGAGCACTCCTGACTAGGCCCACTCCCTAGATGCAGGTGTGTATGACATGCACACTCTCCCTTATCCATTAGGCCAGGTGTGGAGAACTTTGGCCCACTAGATGTGGCTTAACTACAACTCCCATCAGCCCCTGCCAGCACAGCCCTCGGCTAGGGATAAAGGGGGTTGTAGTTCATCAACTCCTGGAGGGCCAAAGGTTCCCCACGCCTGGATTTCGGCCTGGCTCTAAAGCGAGCCTTTTTGGTCCTCTGTGCAGAAGCAACTGCTGTTTAATCTTTTCATGACTTGGGCTGCAGTCCTACACCTGCGTGTTTGAAAGCGAGCACTATTGCACGAAATGGTTGCTTGCGAGTAGAGCTGCAGATGACGCGGCTCTTCTGGCCGCAAGTGCTCATGGTTTTGAGTTTCGAAACATGGGTATTTTAGTCGTAATCGCAACTTCCTTCCTCAGCATGCGAGGGCACTTATTATTGGGACAAAACACTCCTCCGGGGGAATGCGAGGCGCCTGCAAACAGCGCAGCAAAGAGACCGCTGCATCTCGCACGTGCCGGCAGCGAACACTTCTCGCTGCAGGAAAACATTTCCTATCTCTGCAGAGGAGGGGAAGCGCTGCCAGGGGGCCTCAAACCCATGCTCCAAAAAAGCAAAACAAAACAAAGCGCGGTGCATTATAAGGCTGCATTTCTGTCCTCGCCTTCTCGCCAATGCTATAACACAAAGAAGCACGCCTTGAGGTAAAGAAAGAAGAAGAAAGGGCAGGGCAGCCTTGTAGGAGAAACCGGAGTCGCGCCGTTTGTGGCTCACGCAGTTCTGCCAGAAGGCCCTGCTTTGCGCTTTGGGGAATTGAACCTTGACTCGACGCGGCTGCTCCCTTGGGGGTGGAGGGAGGCCTGTGAGCGGAACTCGGCTGCTTCAGGCGCCGAGGAGGGGAGCGAGCCCGCGCGGCGCTCTGCCCCTTTGCCCCTGGACGCGCCCGCCTTCGGGGGCGGAGAGAGCCGACTCCGCCCGCGCCCGTCACGAGGAGCCGTGTAAACAGTGTCGGTTCGCAGGCTTCCCGAGGAGGCGGCGGCTGTTGCCTTTCCTCCGCTATGGAGGATAGCCTGGCCCGCGCCTTCGGAGGCCTGAGCCTCCGCCAACCCCCCGCGCAAGGCAAGGGCCCCCCTCGCAGGAGGCGCCGCTTCAGCAAAAGCCTCTACTTGCTGCGAGGCCTGCCCGGCTCCGGGAAAAGTACTCTGGCCAGGTAAAAAAACCACCCTTAACATTTCGAAGGAGAGAGGACTCCTTCAGCTCTTAAGTCGTAAAACGACGGGGTCGAAGTCTTGAGCGGGAAAACCGCGCTTTCTCACCTCGAAGCTCTGTGAGGGAGGGTAGACAGGTTGCTCAGCAGGCGCTCTGGACATGCTCAGAGGCTCTTGATCGGCGCGGGAACCTGCGACCCTCCAGATGCGTTGAGGATTCTGTGAAAAGCGGGCAAAGCTGGTGGAAGTTGGCGTGCAGAAGCGACTGGGAAGGCCTCGGGTCCCCCACCCCACCACCTCTGCTTTTCAGGTTCTTGGCATTCAAGAAGGGTTCTGGGATAAAGAAGCCCTGGCTTCAGCAAAGCGCTGCGTGCTTCATGTTGATGGAAAGGGGTGTGGTCAACTTTATTTTATTTTTTTCTAGTAGGATGGCTCCAGTGGTCGACATTAGATAGGCGTATTTCCTTGTCACTGTACCACCATGCATAGCTGTCAACTTTCAGATTTGAAAATAAGGAATCAGCAGTCTCGAAAATAAGGAATCAGCAGCCTCACCTGCCCTGGGGACAGATATCTAACAATCCGGGATAGCAACGGGAAACGGCGTTGAAATAAGGGAATTTCCTGCAAAAAAAGGGAAGGTTGACAGCTATGCCACCATGCTGGGGAAAAACTTTGTCTCTGGGGGTTCAGTTTGCTGTTGCACGATTGTTCAAGGTACAGGAGCACGTCTGAAACAAGTTTGGGCTGTTCATGGTCGGTCAAGACAGAGCTCCAAGATAGCTCAGGGAAACAAGAAGAGAATTGGTGGGGTGGTGGCTGCTACTGCTCCTTCACAGCTGTCATTTCCTCTCTTTCTGAGCTGCAGCAGTTTTGTTTTCTTAATTGGTTATCAGTCCCTACCACCAGTGTAACCTTGAGTGATAAGAGCAATTGCTAGTAATTAAATATATTTTCCTTTTGTAAGCATATATTTGGTGTATTTCCCTGTTTCGACATGAATATTTACCGACGGGAATTTCCCAATCCTCATAAGGCCTTGGTTCAGCTTGATTCTGAGAAAATCAAACAAGATACTTTGGAAGGCAGTCAACATTGCACTGAAAGCACAGACACAAAAATATCACTTTGATTTTAATGACTCTGGATTTTGCCCTCGGTTACCATTTTCTTATGATTAATGGAAGTGGAAAGAACTGTTTTGATCACTTTAAGAAAAACAGCTAGCGCCTTTGTTTTCTTTGTGATGTCCCACGTTTTTAATACAGAATTTGACTGGAGTCAACATCAGAAACCTATAATCAGTATGCAGTACTGTAATATATTTCCTGATGGCTTAAACTAATATAAGCATTTTCCAGCACAGGTAGCTTTCACCAGGGTTCCCTGATTTGTGGCACACCAGCTGCATCCACCAACCAAGTATTGTGACCTCCCAAGCTGGCAGCAAAAGCAGGAAGCAAATTTATTGAACTCTTAGGAGGGCCTGTTATACATCACTTTTGGGCTATATGTGGCTTGGTGGGTCACAAACCTCATACTGGGTGAAATGAAACAAGACACCAATGACTAACAGCAGGTTTTGCAACTTTTGTAACTTGGACATCACTAAAGGTAAAGTGAGCTGAACTAGAGTATAATGGTGAGATTCATATTACTCTTTGTTTCCAAGCAGAGGTGTTATGTTGTCTTCGAAGAGCATATAGTTACCATCAAAGGCACAGTTCTTGATTTTCTGCATGAATTTCTGCAATGAATTTCATTGGCTTTCAAAATGTGCTTCTGGCAAGCCAGTCATGGAAACATTGGCTCTGGTTTCACATCTCACTGATTTTAGGAAGTGCAAAAAAATCTCATTCTGTTAGTATGACATGGTTCTGGTTCAACAGACCTGAAGAGTTCATACTGAAGGCATGCTGACTGAAAAGTGAAGGAAGAGTTAAGCACTTTCCCCTTGCCTCTCTCACCCCCTGGATATTTAGTCTTCTTGTCACATCTCCAGGATAAAGGAAGCACAATTTATAGCAAGTGTGAAGAGAAGCATCTGGTCAATGAGGACAGTATTTTTAAAAATGCACCCGAGATTTGCACAAAGTCCACAGTAGTATGCATTTTATAAGCAAGATAAGGAATTGAGAAATGAAAGTTTGAAGTTCGACTCTTTTTTTCTAGATCGCTTTTGGCTTAACTCGCTTTGTGAAAGGATTCTTTTATTGTGCTGAGATATTGCAGATGATACCTTGACATTCCACCTCCAGACATCAAGGCTCCATTGCTGCAGCTTCACCTTTTTCAACAAATCCTTCCCATGAGAAGTCTGACATATTCTGCTGTCCTTTACTGTCAAGAGGAAACTTTATGCTAGGGTGGATGGTATAGACAAGTTGAGTCTGGATTGAACAGATGCTGCTTCATCCATATCTAAGTGAGGTTAAGAGGGAGGGTCCTTATCATTCAGTGTCCTTTAAAAATATTGTTGTGAATGTAATACATAGATCTGGGCTGGGAACCTATGCCCCTCTAGATACTGTTGAACTACAACTCCCACCATTCCTGACCAGTGGCTGAGTTCAACAACAGCTGGAGGGTTACAGTTTCCTTATTGATGATATAGAGCTTCCCTACCAGTCACACCCACCTGCACTGGATTTTGCATAGTTTGCTATAAAAGGCAGACTCGAGGACTGCTATCCTGCTCTGAAAGGCTATGGTCTTAACACTGCACCTGGATGATTGCTCCTTTGCTGTTATAATAGCTCCTCCTCCCCAGGGCAGTATTGGACTAGGAGCAGGAAGACTGAGATTCAAATCCCCATTGAGCCACAAAGCCTTGGGTCAGCCACTATCTCTTAGCCTAACTTACCTCTCACAGGATGGTTGTGATGATAAATTGGGTTTGATGGTGGGGAGGAGAGAAACACATATGTTACTTTACAGTCTGAAAAAACTTGGGACCAGGATACAGTGGTGCCCCGCAAGACGAATGCCTCGCAAGACGAAAAACTCGCTAGACGAAAGGGTTTTCCGTTTTTTGAGTCATTCCGCAAGACGAATTTCCCTATGGGCTTGCTTCGCAAGACGAAACGTCTTGCGAGTTTGTTTCCTTTTTCTTAAAGACGCTAAGCCGTTAATAGCCGCTAAGCCGCTAATAGCTGTGCTTCGCAAGACGAAAAAACCGCAAGACGAAGAGACTCGCGGAACGGATTAATTTCGTCTTGCGAGGCACCACTGTACATTACAGATCAACCCCCTTGATACAGACCACACCAACCTTTAAGATCTTTCAAGGGAGCCATGTCTCTAAGCATATTGCCACTTGGTGACAACATGGAAGCTGGCAATTTCCATGGTAGCAGCAGCTCCCTGGAACACCCTGTAAATTTCATTGAATGTTGCGTTTTTATTTTAATGCAAACTGCTTAAAAGTGGTTTTTATTTTATTGTATTAAGTGGTATTAATAAATATTTTCTCCTGCAGTAAATGGGGGGGGGGGTAATTTGCTGGTAATTCAACCCTTGCTCGAATGGTGCTTTATTTTCATTTGACGATTCCTCTAAAAGTGCATGGGGAACATTTGGGCCCCAATTAAATTGAAGGGTGGTGGTGGTTAGAAAATGAAAAACTTCACTTCTAATGGGTATACTAATCCGTGTGAAATTTTGACCTTTCCTTACAATTGTTTGGTCTCAACAGGCAACTGAAACGTGAATTTCCCAGTGCAGTTGTTCTGAGCACTGATGACTACTTCTCTGCAGAGGACGGCACATATGTGTTTGATCCTGATGCTCTAGAAGATGCACATAGATGGAACCAAAAGAGAGGCAAGTACAGCCCTTCCTAGTTTTGTGCGTTAGGTTTTGCTTCCTATCTACACCTTGTACTCTTCAGCAGTTTGCTTCTACAAAAAGTTACAGCTGAAGAGAGCCTTGCTGTAAGAGAATGTCTTATTTGTCGCACCTGCACTATTCATTTTGCTCAAAATGGCTTTCAGAGTTGATCAAAACATCAATTACTAGTAGTAAAAAGTGAATGATTCTATGGAGAAAACAATGAGATGCTATTTAGAGGCTAATGTTTGAGTCTCTAGTTTGGACATGTAGGAAAAAATGCATTATAAAAGTTCCTAGCAAAGGAATGAATTGTACAATATATGCTCTATAATCAGTTGGCATTGCTTCTGCTGTCAGATATCTAAAGGCAGATTTGTATGCCCTGATAATAAACTTTTAATACTAAAAATATAAGCATGGCCACTGCCATTAAATAACAAGAATAACAACAACAATAATAACTTGTTTTCACATTTTATTTCTAACTTTGTTGTATCTTTCTCTTGGGTTTGAACAGATTGGTTAAGGTTGTGTCAGTCATAGTTTCAGCGGTTCTGAAGTTAAATGAAAACATGGATAACTGAAGATTTTCTGGATTAATTGCAGCACTCCAAGAAGGCAGGAGGGGAGCAAGCATGGCGCATGCCCTCACAAGGCTTCTGTATATCTTGTCCCAATAAGCTGAAATAGGTACATTGAAACTGGGCCGTTGTGTGGATTTGCTCACAGCTCCCATGTAAAGATAACTACGCGAGGGAGAAATTTGTTTTCAAAAGTTTTGTGTGAGAGTCCACATTTCCATTGTATCTCTGATTTTGAATTTTGTATATGACTGAGCCCATGTTTTCCATAACAGCTAGTGCAGTGTCTCCTCTGGAGGGCACCAAATTTATTATGGAGCCTAGCTATTGCTAGCCACCTTCAACCACCTCTCAGATGCCAGGTTTGCTGAAGCACAAATCTTTCCCAGCTTTTACAGCAGCCTGAATTCTTTTATCCAGGACCAGTGTTTCCTTCCCTTTATATCCCTTGCTTGCAGTGTCTAGCATATTCCTGCCTGACATTAATATGGGTGGAAATCAACAGACTGAAACTAAAGCACATTATGGACTAAATCCTGTGTCTTCAGAAACACTTGCTCATTACATTCAGCACATCAGTACTTGTTTGTGACACAGTGAATCCCCAAAGGCTTGATTCAGAACATCTGTGTAGGTAACAGGATGATTTCACTGATTGTCTGGTCCTTTTAAAACATTTACATTGTTATGTTACAGCACGTAAAGCCATGAAGAATGGGAAATCCCCAGTTATTATTGATAATACCAACGTCCACGCTTGGGAAATGAAGCCATATGTGATAATGGTAGGGGAAACTGACCTATTGTCATTCTTAATATTTAGCTATGGGTTCCAAAAATGAGCAGATAATCCTGCTATTTGCTATCAAGAGAGGCGGAAAAATGGCAAGAACTTCTAATGTGCTTAACTTTTTTTTTCAAACATTAGTTTTCTTTCACAGATTTTGCCCAAGCCCTGGAACATTTTTTTGTGCCACAACTGGATTGCTTTCTACCCCCTCTTGCTCCCTTCTTCTTTGGGTTCCGTTTAGTCCAGGCATGTACAAAATCCATTTTGGGGTTTTAATCCAGCCCTCCGGTCGGTTTAATCCGGCCCCTGTGGCAGTCTATCTCCTGGGTTAAAATCCAAAAAAACCTCAATAACTTCAATCCTTAAAAAAGGTCAGCTACTTCGCTCGGCCCTCACGCATGTTCACTTCATCAAATCTGGCCCTCTTTGAAAAAAGTTTGGGCACCCCTGGTAGTCATTATGTTTTCCTTTCAAGGTTAGGTCACTTAACATTATCTGACTCTTAGAAACCACTAATGGTCCTAATCTTTTGCACAATACGTGGCTGGATGTGCCAGTAAAATGCTGGTCTTCCATATGGTCTGGTTTCTATGCCTCAGTGAGCATAGACCATGCAGTCTACCTTTTTGCAGAACCAAACCACTGGTTAATCATATTATTGGTTCTGACTGGTGAAAGCTTTCCAAGATACAGCCAGTTGACCAAGAACCATTTAACTAGACATGCCAGGGATCTTCTGCAGGCAAAGCATGTTCTGTTCCTAGGGGCTATGGGACAGCATCCTTCAAGTCAGAAAGAGTGTCACATTCTTTAATCTATATTATATGATTCTTCTTTTCTGAACTGAGTGTGCTCTGTAACTCTTAGGTTGCAGGGGGTACATGAGTACCTTTCCTCCAGATTGCACTGTCGTTGCTGGGATCCTACTTCTCAAACTGCAATTAGTGTACGCTTGCCTCCAGCTAACATCTGGAGATGGTTTGGTGACTGTGCTGAGAACCTGGTAGGATAGTGCCTATCACTCATAATGAGATGTTCTTTCTGCCCCTGCGTCTGTATAACTTTTGGTATATTTTTGCTGTAGTTCAAAATCGCTTGAAAAAAATCACCTTGGAATCTGACTCTAGAATTAGGTCAGTCTGCTAATTTCCCTTTCTTTGTGTGTGGTTAATATAACTTTGACAGCTTCTAAATTATGAATGAAGCAACTATTTCAGCATCCATAGCTCATCACCTGTGTTAAGAGCACATAATATGCTGTACTATTGCATGGCTTTGCTGTTTTTCTTGAGAAGGAATTTTTGTCAGAAGTGGCAATATATGATAGTGTTGTAAACTGTTGAAATCTTGTTTTCTAACTTACCTTGGCAACCTTTATGTTTAGAGATCTTATGGAATTAAAAGAGGTAAATTATTTTGAACTGCGGGACAGCACAAAATTTGAGATTTACTGACATGACAAATATGGTATTAATAGTGTGGCCATGTTGTACTGAACTACAGTCTCACTAGAGTTTAAGGCTAATTATACAGTCATACCTCGGGTTCAAGTAGCTTTGGGATAAGTATTTTCGGGTTGCGCACTGCGGTGACCCGGAAGTAACGGAGCGCCTTACTTCCGGGTTTCACCGCTCGCGCATGCGCAGACCGGCAAAATGACGTCACGCATGCGCGGAAGCAGCAAATCGCAACCCGCAGACATGGGTTGCATTCGCTTCTGGATGTGAACGGAGCTCCGGAACGGATCCCGTTCGCAACCAGAGGTACCACTGTATATGCTTTATTATACTTTATTTTTATAACTTTGTTATGTTGTGCATATGTAATTCATGAAAGGTAGCTTTTTATTGTGACTTGATTACAAATTCAGTACTCTTTCACATCAGGCACTTGAACACAGCTATGAAGTTCTTTTTCGAGAGCCAGATACACACTGGAAATTCAATGTTCGGGAACTAACCAGGTACAGTTTTTTGGCTTATGTTTTTAGCTGCTATGAGAATACAAGTGATACCTGCAACAAAACATTGCACTATAGCATAACCTCTAACAGGAGCTCACCTGTTCAGAATGCCAGCTAGCCATGCCCTCTTGCAGAACATTCCATTCTACCCCTAGATTTGTTCTGCTTTTTCATCTGATGCACCTTTCATTGCTGTGCACCATGGTCAGTCCTTACTGGACTGTTTGGGTTCTTTTGCCTCCTTGGAATTTTTTTAAAGTTCTTCTGCAAAACTTTGGGGTCTGTGGAGCATGCAGATACCTCTGAAGGTGAAGTGATTTCTCCTTTTTGAGGGTCTGTGGCTGGAAAGTCAGTTGCCACGGAGAAAGTTAAGTCAAGAAGGACTTTATTTTATGATCGCAAAAGGTGGGAGTACTATTTATCGTCTTCTCAAAGATAGGAAGAATTCAAAACAGCCAACCATGACATTGCATGGGGTATAGAACCTTTTATGGCATATTACATACACTAACCACCTTTCGGACATGCGTACTGTATTGCAGTCAGGCAGTCTTCAGCATGCTCCCTGCATGATCAACGAGTGGATAGTTGCTCATATGCCATTTCTTATCTATCACTTCCCCAGCAATAACTCAATCCCCCCTTTATTCTTTTCCTTGTAAAGCTAGATAGTTTTACACAGCCATCCTGTAACACAAACCACTTCCTTTTCTTGTCATTCTCTTCCTTTATTGACAATCTGCAATTCAAGCAAACAGGGCAATTCTCAATGAGGGATTTTATTTTTTCCTTCATTAATAAAAAATTCCCTTTAGCTCCCTCTTGTGCATCTGTGGCACTATTTTGGCTTTCCTTTTGTCAGGACTAATCATCTGTGATAGCTAGTAGATGGATGAGTGGGACCTGCAACAGTGTGTTACAGTGTGGAGGGCTCCACCCTGCGCTATAATCGGTACTGTGCTCCCCATTTTCTCTTTTGCTATTAGAGGGAATAGTTCCCCTTAACCTCTTAGGTCTCATATCCACAATGCTGTTCCAAACCATGAACACACATTAATGGATTAATTTGTGAACTAGGTTGTCATGAAAATGGAAGGAGCAGTTCACATGATTGCTGGTATTCACATGCTGTTTGGATATGTAGCTAACTAAATATACTTACGTATATGTTTACGTTTATTCCATAGACGGAATGGCCATGGTGTTCCACGAGAGAAAATACAGAGGATGAAGGAGCAATATGAACATGATGTTACTTTTCATGATGTGCTTCATTCAGAAGAACCAGCCAGACATTTCAGTAGATCCTATGGCGTTTACGATACTGGTTATTCCCATGTGAACTCAACATTCCCCAACAGAAGAGCTAACAGCAACTCCAGAAATGAAAGATCATTTAGTAGGAGAAATGATTTCTACCCGGTATATTAGAGTTTTTAATCAAGTTGTATAAAATTTTGTTTTATACCTTCAGGAATTCTGTACTTAAAATATTTGTATTTTTCTATTGGGCTAGATTTAGTTCTTAAATCTCCATATATTCTTTTGGAGGTTAAAAACCCTGTTTTAATATTCTTCTGATGCAGTTTATATTTCTTCACTCATGTTTACACCTGGCTTTATACACACACACACACACACACACACACACACACACACACACAGTTTTGACAGGATGACTCACGCTTAGGAGTGTAAACATAATGAAGAACCCACAGTAATTTTTAGCAGCAACATAGAAAAGGATCTCCATGTCATTGTGCTCATATACTATGGGGGGCAAGGAATTGACATCCCTGTGCAGATCGAGCTAACAGTGGTGCTATACAATGTTTGGTCCTGGTAAGGATGCACACAAATGATATTTCATATCATTAGTGTGCCATTGCTAATCATAGTATAGTGCAACAGTTAGAACTCTTAATTGCCCTGACTTCCATCAATTGTTCAGTATACAAGGCTGTGGAAATGTAAACATTTCCCTCCATAAATATTGACACAATAATTAATTTTACAGTATACAAATTTTAAAATGTTGGTTTCTTCTGTATCTAGGTTTTAAAATTAAGTTATAAATCTGCATTTCACAGGACCACCTTTTCTACATTCCATCTTAATTTAGCTTCAGTTTTATGACATTTACCTTCTTTGACACAGCTGCTTCTCTACTTTGCAGTTTACCTCCTTTTTTACATCATGTAGATTTCCTTTCTTGCTGAAACCAATGAGGAGCTTTATTTAGACTCCCATTTGTTGTCATTGCTCACCCTATTTTTTATTATTATGATTCCTGAAACACACACCAAATAGTTTGCAACCGTAGGAACAATTCAGGAACTAATCTTGACAACAGTAAGAGTTGGGTAGTCCTCAATTTCCTGTTTGGTGGTAGCATATGCCAAAGGTGGGTAGAGCAAGGAAACCTGCCTAAATTCAGTGGCCATTAGAACTAGAGATTAACTGAAATGAATGAGAGCAATTGGCACTCTTGTGACTTTTGTTAACGCTCAGTGCTAAGTGTTGTTTGTGCCTTTTTGCAGCCTGCTAGTTTAATTTCTCTAGTCGTGCTTTTTCTCTTCATCTAATTGTTTCCACAGATCAGATACTACTCAGTATATTTGCTTAATCATTCCGTCTAAAAGCTCTTCAAGGGTAGGTACTTATTGAAACTACAGTGGTACCTTGGGTTAAGTACTTAATTTGTTCTGGAGGTCTGTTCTTAACCTGAAACTGTTCTTAACCTGAAGCACCACATTAGCTAATGGGGCCTTCTGCCGCCGCCGCGCCGCCAGAGCACAATTTCTGTTTTCATCCTGAAGCAAAGTTCTTAACACGAGGTACTATTTCTGGGTTAGCGGAGTCTGTAACCTGAAGTGTATGTAACCCGAGGTACCACTGTAGTAAAGAGTGATGTAAAAATAAGATAGTAGAGTTACAAGCAAGATAACTATCCAATAACTATGTTAACTTCAGATGCTTTAAAATTGATTGCTGGCTTAAAAAGAAAGAACGAACTAATCTACTTGCATTCCTACAGGGTGTTTCACTATTAGCCTGATTCAGATGTTTGCCCTCGTCCACTCTAAACAAACATGGGTATGTATGTGCCTCCAAGCTCTGCATCCTCGGGACCATATCTTGAGTCCTCCTCAAGTTTGAGGTGAAGGCATGAAGTGGGGGCCATTCTCCTCCCTTTGCACAATTGGTTCTAAAATTGCACAAGGAATGGAAACTCGGTTCTTCATACCTTTGCCTTCAAACTCATTGAGGCCTGTTAACACAATAAAGGTGACATAGTGGAAGGATATTTTTGTCAGAGTAGCCTTACTGCCCACCATAGGCTTCTTTACACAAGAGGAGACAAAACACCCAAATAGGGCTATAACAAACATAAGGTTTGTATGTTTTGGGTATGTTTGGCCTTGAACCATTGTGATTGCTATGCAAAAATAAACAAGGGAATCAAATTATATTGACTGCATGTTTTGAAATGTACACTGGAGTTCTAAAAATATACGATGCCTTCATTAAAGTTAGTTATTGCTGTACTAGTTCCATAACTTTGAATGTGCTTCTACGCAACATGACAGAATTTTTAAAATTTACAGCCATTCTTACTGGATTTTCATAATTTATTCGATAGAGCATACATAATCACACTAAGCTTTATTCTGAATTGAAATGAGTAATACACAGACAAGCCTGTACAAAACACTTATAACATTTACAAAGATTGCTTAAATATTTAAATGTACAGGGGCATTTATAAGTACTTTCCTTTGTCTTTGGGACTTCATCTGCACAGCTAATGGAAGTATTTGTTCCATTTGTCTCCTTTGTAGCAGCCTCAGTACTCTCCTTACAGTCCTGCAATATATCTGTTTTACCAGAATATTGGAATTATTCCTTACTAAAAGGCTGACAGCAAGAGCAGTGGATATGGAATACACAATTATACCCACCAAATCAACCTGTATCTTCTGGAAAACTACTTACGAGGGCTTGTGTATTTATCATTGCAAGCTCCTCGTCAGCAACAAAATTATTTTCAAGAGGAGAACCAGTCTCACTAGACCCTCTCAGGGCAGATTTTTTATTATAACATGCTGTTCTTTTCAGTGACTTTTCAAGTTGAGTGCCGGAACTTCGGGGGGGCTGAAATGCCCTTTTCAAAGATGGAGAAATAAATATACAGTTGGTCTTCACTGGTGGTGGGGAAGGTACTCGACTAAGCAGGTCCATTGCTCTTCTTTTCTTACAGTTCCTAGGGGTTTCTTGTAGTTCCGCTGTTGTTTTTGCTGACCCTAGAGATACCGGTGGCTTTGAATCTAGCTTCCCAAGTGACAAAGGACTCTGATGCCATGGTCCACTGCTAGGAGTTGCAATCTAATTAAAAGGGGGGGGGAGAAAACTAAGCTTAAATTCTGTCAATGACTACTGCCATTCAAAGACATCTGAACTAATCATTACTCCACCACCATCCTTGAGCTATTTATACTTACTTGAGATGGCTAAATATGCTGTCTGATATTTAAGTTGATTATACTGGTAAATATAATCATCATACTAGATTAATAAAAACTTACGGAATGTTTATTTCCTGCATCAGATTTCTGAGAAATGGGATCCAAGCCACATTCTTGGGGCAAGTTAAATGTTTGTGGGTCATCTGTTTGTAGCAAATTCATCAGTTTGCATTGTGCATTTTTGCCAAAGCAGCTGCTATTCTGCAGGACAAAAATATATAGTTTTTACTTTTAAAAAAACCCTTTGCTATTGATTTTTAACATAATGAATATGGTATGCTGTAGATACTCAGGACTGCAATACCTCAAGAACCACCTCTCCCCATATAAACTGACACAGATCCTGAGATCATAATGCAAGGACTTCTTCACGTGCTTCTTCCACAAGAGGTCCAGAAGCTGGCAACATGAGAACAGGCCTTTTCTGCAGTGGCTTCACATCTGTGGAATGCTCTCCCTAGGCCCGATTTGTGTGGCACCTTCATTATACATCTTTGGGCCTCAGGCAAAAACGCTTCTCTTCAACTAGAGCTTTGGCTGATCAACATACTATGTGCCTTCACATGTGTTTTGGGGGGTGTTTCTGGTTTTGTTCTCATTTTTATGTTATGAACTGCCCTTGAGATCTTCAGATGAAGGGCAATACACAAAATGAATGAATGAATGAATGAATGAATGACATATGTATAGTTACAGGCAATGCCTATGTCCAGTGCCAAAAATACTGGCATTCACATTTTGTTGTTTATATAAGCAGCAGATTGGACTGGAGACTAATTCATACAGACCTCTTCTCCATGTACAGAATGAACACATGACTAGTGCATGAACAGGTTTTGCATCTTTGGCCTGCAGCTTCGTGCATTTCACTACATGGGTGCTTTGGGAAAGCTGGACATCTTGTATGGACAAAAACCCTTACCAAAAAATATATGTTTTGGCGACTACTGCTACTACTGCCCTAGAAATAGTGTAATGCCTTTTATGAAGTTGATAGCTTATTTGGAAGGTGCAAGCTGGCATCCTACTTCTGGACAGAGGCTTGTGGTCAGGAACACATTACAGCTGTTCCAAGCTATTACCTGAGTTTCTATAGCAAATGTCCTTTAATTAGGGCAACTAGAGAAACAGCTTTCACAAAATACTGAATTGTCTTCCACTGGAGACTAGACAAGTCAAAACATTAAATGCTAATTTAGTATGTCTTTTGTTGCAACCAGCCTTTACCATTTGATATACCATGTGTATAAGGTAACATAATTCGCCCGCCCCATGCCTTCAGTGCATTGGATAGGTGAGATCAACGTACCTCTACAGTATTTCTCAGTTCATTAAAAAATCCTTGGAGATGACTTTCTTTTGGATTTGAGGAGAATGCAGAAAGGTCTCCAGCCAATAATGTGGGGATGTCTGATCTAAATTCAGGTCGCCACTGAAGGTTGATTGCAGAGATCAACGTAGAAGGAATAATTATGTCATCAATAGCAAGCTGCTTAAGATCTGTATAGATCTGGACTGCTATGAAATGATGATTCTCATCTGACAGATACACCAGTGTAGAGAAACCTATGTTAGAAATGAAACATAAAAATTTAACTTCACTTTTAAAATTAAAAATACTAACCCTTAAAAAGTTTACATTTAACTCTAACAAAGCCCAAAAGATGATTCTGGGGAACTTGAATATAATAGCTTATATACTTTGAGCATTGTATTGGGGAAAGCCTGTAGCCTACTAGAATGAATGCATTAAGCAAGGTGTATCTGACCAGTGTTTCAAGACACAGTACAAGAATCAGGTGAGCTAATTAAAATTCATTAAATAACTGGAAATTTAAAAACCAATTTTAAGCAATTTCTCCTAATGTAGTTCACAGAGGATTGCACAAAGTCTTCCCATTTGTGCAAGAACTTCTACTTGTGCAATGGAACTTCTTCTCCATCATCTCTCCTTGTGTGTCCCTGTGCCCCCCAAATCT